TTGCGATAGATAGAGTCAAGTATTGTTTGCATAACAATAGTATACAATGTTATGTTTCTAAAGGCCGGGACACACCAAGCCGACTTCAAAGAACTAGCAGTGGCGAAAGCCGACAGTGTTGTCTCATCGGCAGCGTCAGACCAAAAAGCCATGCTTGAACACATCGCACAGACTACAGCCGACTGCAAACTAACACATGCGTTCTTGCACCTGTGTGAGAGGAATCAACTGTCTATATCAGCAGCTATCAATAGTATATTTTCATCATTTAAAATGAGAAACCGAAATAAGGATATACGAGATATACGCAGATATACGTAACGTAAACAAAGCAGTGCTTGCTTAACATTTTGAATATCAGTTATGTTCTTAACTTTCTTCATTTTAAGCGGCTCATGCTATGAAAATATTTGCATATTAGATGCTTGGGAAAGATCACGTAACATTATAACAGACTTCTGTCTGTACCGCCTTCATTTACTTGCTCGTTTTCATCACTTTCACTTTAATTTTCAGACACTAACTAATTCGCTAAACTGAACCTCCAATCAGAGTTATCACTTGCACCGACGGCCTCGAAGGCAAACTTCTGCCGACATGAGCCTGACGAGAGCCGTCACCAAACGAACTAGCCCGACAGATGCTCACCGACGGCCCGACGTTGGCTGATGGCCGACCGTCGACTTGGTGTGTTAAACAACAGATCCTCTCAAAGGAGCATATATAAAGAAAACAAAAAAGGCCCCAAAACAGAGCCTTGAGGTATGCCGCAGGCGATAATGAGTCACAACCTACTATTTCTACTTTGGTTCACTTAACTTTTGGTTCAACAACCTTGACTAACATCATAAGTGAACTTAATGGGGGGAAAATTCAATTCTACACCAGAATATACAGAATTAGTTATAGTTCTAGTGCAGTTGAAAATAAACATTAAAGCCAGGATTCAGAGATTGCATCTGTGATATTTATAATGACACATTGCCTAGAGGATCCTTACACCATAAAGCTAACAAAGAGAAAACGTGTCTCACTACGAAGAGTGTAATCTTTCTCGAACGGTACCACGATGCCCCAGGCAGCAAGTGTGTGACTTTATATTATTGTAATCCTGACCCTGCTGTATGTAAAAGCCACAGTGAAGCTTCACAGCCTGTGCATTTGTGCTGCATTGAGCTGGAGTCACAGAAAAAGCTTTTGCTGAAAGCAAGAGGCTGCTTTTATCCACACAACCTCTCCTCTGTGCCAAACAAGCAGAAGAGGCTCGACAAAAACTGCACCCGCATGCCACAAGGCAAGAATGAAGACACTCAGGCCTCTGCTTAAAAGAAAGCTAATTTGAAAAGTAAAATAGACCAGCATGCAACAGCAGTCTCTCCTTTCAGATCAAGATCAGATCACTTCCAGGTCAGTGGAGGATATTGAGAGAGACAATCTTTTCTCCCTGATAACCCGTGTTGAATGGGAGTCTCTTTTGTGCTTTGACTGAAAGAATGTTAGTCACAAACAGAGATGAGAACAAGTTTGATTAAGCAGCATTAAAGGGATAGTTAATCTAAAAATTCTTTCATCATTTACATGGAACACTTTTTAATACAATGAAAGTTAATGAAGTCCAGAGCTGTCAAGATCCAAACTGACTAGAAAAAAAAACTACAAAAGTATCGTAAAAGTGGTCTTCTGAAAGCTTTTGGTGAGATCTTCCTTTGTGCTCTCCAGAAGAAAGGAAGTCATACAGGTTGGGTGTTTTTAGATGAGTAAATGATAAAATAATTTTCACTTTTGGGTGAACTGTCCTTTCAAGAACTGAGTGTCTCTTTACTTTGAGAATCTCAGACTCACACAAATTTAGAGTGCAAAAGTTCACGTGGTTAATTCCCAACAACCCCCCTCTCTCTTTTTATTCTCCCTATCTCTTTTTTAAATATTATTATTGTCAATAGTCTCTCTAAAGTCGTTAAGTGAATGAGTAAGTAATCTGTGGTTTGCCTGCAGCTGTGTGGCCCATCTCAACAGGCTTGCGGTCCTAAGATCTTCGAAGATTAAAGTGATCTGAAATGTGTCAGATCAAGGCCTTTGTGCATGAGTCTTCCTGCTTTGGGGTTAGAAATGTAAATTTTCTGGTTCTACAGGATTTAGACCAGAAGAGATGCCTCTTGTAGCATTATGAAAAAGAATGACAAACGTCAGCAAGACCATTTACACACACACACCCTTACTTTAGGCATGTTCCTATAAACAAATTACAGTACTTGGAAAAAAAAACCCACTTCACTCAATAATGTCCCATTGCTCTCCTGCCTTTAATAGAAGTTAAATGTAAAAGGTCAGATATTGTGACCTTATTGGCTACAACACCATGAATGTTTTTTCTTCTGGGACATTTTTAGAAACCTACAATTCCCCCACACACACACACACAGAACTCGTGAAACAAAGCCACAAATGTATGTTTCTAATTCATTTTGTCTCCCATCACCCCCTCCTCATCACCTCCTGCGGGTCTACATTTAAACAACCAGTCAAGTGCTAATATTGAAAGAGGAGGACACGCTGAATGAATGGAGGACACACTGCATTAAGAAACAGACATTAGCAAGAGACAACGGGGAATATCTGTCAGGTCTTGCACATACACATCTAACATGAGGATTATAATATCTCATACAATACAGACTATTCCTGATGGGTTTACAGAGAGAGGACACAACGTCACAGATAATCCATAATGGTTATGCATTTCTTGTTTGATCCTTTCTGTCATTTGGTTTCTAGGTTATATGTATTCATGAACTGTCAGTGAGAACAATGACTGTGTGTTTGATCGCAGCATGAAACTACTTTAGAGTATCTGTAACAAGTTTAGAGATAAATGCTTTGAAACAACTCTCAAAACAACCTAACCTATTTAAAAAAGATCAAATACAGGTGCAACAGAAATCAATCAAAGTGGCCTTAATGTCTTTTTCTATTTGCTGAAAGTTTCATTGTTTGTTGTTTTCCACTTTTGATTAATTTAATGCATCCTTGCTAAATCAAAATATTACTTTCTTTCCCAAAAACAAAACAAAATAAATCTGACTCAAACTTTTAAATGGTAGTGCTCTCTCCCTCCTTATTTCATTCAGACACTTTTTATGAAGACCAAACCTCACCTTTCTCTCTTTATCTCCTCATCTCTTTCATTAGCTTCGTTAATGTATACTTTAAACATGCTATGGCGGTGCTGTGGCCCATTTAAGCCGTATTTCCTACCCCCCACACACATATAGCTTCTCTACCCCCCACGTTTCACCCTGATGCCCTCTGCTTCAGTGGGGCAGAAGAAGGAAGAAATGCCCTGAGGGTCACAGTGAAGCCATTCTGTTACTTAGTTCCACTTAACACACTTACAGAGCAAAGCAGAACAACATGATTGCCTTCCTAAGCCTTCATATACATACACAAACACACTTCTATACAGATACAGTATTAGACCAATAAAGGGTTTAAAATACAAGCACATGGATACTGACACACACTCATGCTTGAACACACATGTCCCATTTCACTTGAATAACCAGCAACTACCGCAAGGTCTGCAATTCCCAAAGAATCTCCTGTATTTTACATGTTAATGTGGTTTTTAACATATCTTATGCCTAGTATTTGAGGAACAATCCTGTCTGCTACTTATTGACCCAAACTACTGGGCACTTGGAAATCAATTTGACTGTGTGATAGCCCTTTTTAAAGGAAGGAGTGTGTTTATCGAGTCTAATCCATAGATTAAACAGCGTATGATGGGAGAAAGACAGACGCACATGATAAAGTCCAGATATAAGCTCTTAAAGGAGACGGGTAGTCTCTGTCCAGTCTGTTTCTGAGGGGGACCTCAATGATACGATGGTGTAGGAAGAGTGTGGTTAATTTTTTGCTGTGTTTGCTCTAGACTGAAGTACGCAGGAGTCTTTGTTTGGCCAGTCAGTAATTCATTCATAAAGACACTAGACCGATGGGAGACCTCAGGCGACCGAGGAATCTGGCACCCCGTGTGCCATCTCTGTCTGACTGCGAACAGCTGAGACCTGCAACAGTGACCCCCTAAGCCCAGACAGACCAGTATAAATATTAGTGGTCCACTGCATCTAGGTTTTTCTTTCAGGTTTGATTGTCTCTTTACCTGGCTTAAACACATTTTAGGTGTTTATATACTTATATCATCTTTTATCTTATTTGTATTTCACTTTGCTTTTCTTTTGTATCTTTCCTCAGAATCTCAGCTCAGTTGCTTTTTCAGTCATCTCATCACAATGACTCACATTCCACAGAACTGTAGACCACACACACACACACACATACTGTATACAATCTCCTACACATAAACACATACAGAACTAACCGGGAGCTGCTCTAGTGGTTTACAGTAAAACTTTTAAATGAGGCACATTATACATGTAACACAGAAGAACTTAACCAGGCATGTTGTCACTCAAGTTTTCTACTTACAAAAAATATTAATACTTAAGACAATTTGTGCCAGAACAGCAAAAATATAGAGCAAACTTTAGAAATTTACTCCATACAGTGAGAAAATTCACACGCACACACAAAGGCAGCATGTGAGAGAGAATATACACTGATGGATCCTCCTCCTTGGCTTACAAGCATTTCTATCTAGATGAGAGGTTTTTATGACTACAGTACCGTTTGTTTTTGAGACCTCTCAAAACAAACCCCACATACACACTTAAATACACTCGGCATATTGATTGTCCAACAAAGGCACACAAGACATACTTTTAAAGCCTCTATGGCAAGTAAACCTTATTAACCAAGCAGTGTGGCATTTATCACTGTCAGCCGACCACTCGAGTACAGTCCCAGGGGACCCAGAGAAAGTCCAACAGACAGACATAAATTGTCTATTTCCATGCTGTTTTACTGTCTCCAATTGCAAAGACATTTTGCAATTGGAGACAGTAAAACAGCATGGAAATAGAGTTGGTAGTGTGGCATACCTCAGAGGTAAATCCTAGGTCCGTTTTTGTTCCTCAATAACGTATCCAAACATTAGAAGTTTGAATGTCTTCTAGCTCAGTTTATACAGGTAATGTCTCCTCCAAGTACTGGCTGTAATCCTGCAAGTCTGTGTCTCTTGTCTATCACAACTCCACAACACACTGAGGATGAGTCTGTCCGCTGAGATCGCAGAAAGGGGTGTGTGCGTGCTCTCTCTCGCTCTCTTTCTCACCCATTTGCACAACCCTCCCCGTTCCTCCATTTGCTTCTCCTCCCCCTCTCCTTCTCACCTCCCCCCTTGCTCTTCCCCCTCTCCTTCTCTCTCTCATTTCACCTCCTCTGGATCAACAGTATCTGCCAGCACGCAGCCCGGGTCTTTGCCCCTAAGCTTTGAGACACCCCGTTTCCTTTTAAATTGCTTGCCGCTGAGCCCCTAAGATAACATACTTATGTACACAAGACCCACACAAGCACATACACACATAATACCGCAACATAATACATGTATGTCATATATTTTAATTATTTTACTATAAAGTATAAAAAAACCTTTAAAATGCAATTACTGTTAAAAAAGTTGTGGTGTTATGTATGTAAAATAAAAATTTTAAATATATATATATGTTGTGGTATAATGAGAGTAAAAGTAATAATAAGTAAAAAGTAAAATAAAAGGTACACAATAAAATGAAAAAAAAGTAAAATAAAATGTACACACATTATGTTGTGGTATTAAATGAAAGATAAAGATAAAATAAAATAAAAAAATAAAATATAAAATGTAAAATAAAAGTTACATTTTTAAAAATATTGTTTCATTACAGCTTAGTATAAAATAAAAGGTTAAGGTTTTAAAATGTAATGCATAATGTTTTTTAATGTGTGTGTACTGATGCTTGGGAAAGCTGTATGTGGAAAAAAATGTCAATAAAGTATTCCCATGTCACATCTAATGTGCAGCTCATGTGTGGTTTTCTTTTTTTTCATTGTCAGATTTTACAAAGACAAGTATTTTCAATGTTGCACTGAACAATCAATACTAAGATATACAACAATATAATCTACTGAACAAATGGACCTCTTCCTCAAAACCTCATTGATTAATTGTGTAAAATTAAAGGTGTCTAGCCTGTCCAAAGTCCATAACACACATTACAGATCAGGCCTATAGAGAGAAACTTCCTTGTTTTTCTATGGATTTATGGCTGAAAACAGAGATGTTGTGCAATGTTGCGGGTCATATCCGCCTCTGGCTAGTATATCAGTGGGAGAGGGGGGCGTGGGAAACTCCGCACTGATCCTAGTTGTGGAGATCAGGGATTTAACCCACGGCAAGCTGCTGGGAGCCGCCACTATACAAAGAAGCAGTATTATTATTTCAGAGACCCCACTGTAAACGCTGGTCAATGAGTAACTAGTGCTTACAAACCTACTGAATAGAAACCATAGGTGTATGCATGCATGTACATTCCTTGAGTGTTTCCTCTACAGGTTGCCACAGAACCAACCCCTTCATGCTGTTGTGTCACAGTACAGAGAGAGTTTGAAGTTAGGAATACTATTGAAAAAGCATATTAAAGTTACAAACTAATTTTAGGGCTGCATGATAAATCGCATGTGATATTTAACGCGCATCTTGTCAGTAAAGCCGGTTCTGTAACGGGCTTTACTGACAAGATGCATGTTAAATACCACATGTGATTTATCGTGCAGCCCCATTTACTGTATAGATTTACACATACACAAACATGTCCACATAGACATGCACACACAGATATGCACACGTGCATGGTCTCAGATTTAAGGCTGATTGGGCCGTCGGATTCTCGTAGTACACCGAAAGTAAATCTTGGCGATTTAAAGGTCGGGTAAGCGATTTTTCAAAAACGCTTTAGAAAACTGATTCGGGCCGAATAGCAAAACAAACTTGTAGCCAATCAGCAGTAAGGGGCGTGTCTACACATGATGTGGAGGAGAGAGAGTTCAGTGCACAGGACGGACATTAGCGAGCCGAGCAACAGAAAGATAGAGATGGCGGATAAAAAAACAAAAGAGGAAAATGTCTGCGGAACAAAAGAAGGCTTAAGGCAATATGGCAAGAAGTAGGACCCGTGTAAATATCGAATCAGCTTTCCACCGCTGGAGAGAACTCAAGGAGCGGAAGGCCTGCGATCGGACGCCGAGGTTGCTAGCTGCAAGGCTTTTAACGAGTACCAAAAAATGGAATCATATATCACCAGTTTTACGTTCTCTGCACTGGTTGCCTATGCGCTATCGAGTTAATTTTTTAATTCTTCTCTAAGTGTTTAAATCATTAAACGGTTTGGCCCCTGCTTATTTATCTGATTTATTGCCTGAACATTGGCCCCTCTTGTCTCTCCGGTCGTCCAACCAGAGATTATTATGCATCCCAAAGTCGAAGCTTAAATGCAGGGGTGACCGCGCTTTCTCAGTTGCTGCCCCTAGATTGTGGAATGCTCTGCCCCTCTGTATTAGATCTGCACCTTCACTATCGGTTTTTAAATCCAAGTTGAAAACCTACCATTTTGATTTGGCATTTTATCAATGAGAACTTTCTACTGTACTGTTTCTTTTAGTAATCATTTTGTATTGTCTTATTGAAATGTTTTTATTGTGCAGCACATTGGTCAACCCATGGTTGTGTTTAATAGTGCTATATAAATAAAATTGACATTGACATTTATACTACTGCATCAGACCTACGCCGTAGGCTATGCGTCGGTTTTCATTTATACTTCTGCGTCGACGTGCAATTACACATGCAGGCCGCTAGTCTGCAGTGTCCACGGGCATGTTGCTGGTGTAACCCACAGTATCAAGGCAAAGGCCGAAGAAGAAGCAGCTTGTCGGAGAAGCAGTCGTGACGGCGGCAAATAATTTATTTACAACTATAAAAAGGAGACGACAACAGAACTGGAGAAGATGGCACTCTTATAATCTCCACAAAGTCTTGTACCATGGCAAAACAACATTGTTTGTCGTGGACAACTGCATTATAAAGTGATGTATAATGCTATGTTGTATAATAAATGATAATACACTTGTTCTTTGCTTTGTTTATTTTAAATAAGAAGGTGTAACATTAAAGTATATTAAAGTGCAAAAAACACAAAACTCAAATACATACAGAGGGAAGGGTTCTAGCAGACCAATCACAGCGCCTGCACTTAGAATTGACGTGCTGTTACATTTCTGGAGAGGTGCACATCAGTGAGCATGTGTGCTACGCACTACGTAGTTTTGACACAGAAGTATAAATCAGGAAAGAGTGACAAATACAGAGTAATCAAGCTGGTTGTAACTCTGGTAAAGTGTCTCTGGGTCAGGCTTAAGATGAGGGCGGCTGTGTGGCCAGGATTCTCATGATTGGGAGGGACAGATTTAGAGCATTTCACACAGACCACTGAGTATGACAAAACCTACGTCTATAGTGACGTGCTGGATGAAGGGGAGGAGAAAGAGAGTAAGAAAGAATATTTAAAATCAACTACGTTTCTAGACTTACATAGGCTTTACACAGACTCATAATCTCCTGGCCAGATCTATTTTCTACTCTATTTTAAGAAAGAAAGCCAGAACGAAAGACCACAATAATTTGTTCAAAATGCTATGATTTACTGTGTGTATACACACACACACACACACACACACACTATATATTATAAATAAACTTCTATATAAATATCATAAATTTACTTCTATATATTCAGACTTACAACTATATAACTATCTGATTTACATTTATATATTCAGATTCTATATAATTATTTCCTGTTTGGTGCTTCATACATACATATATATATACATATATGCATACTCACATACATATGTTGTGTGTGTATATATATATATATATATATAT